ACACAACAACTTTGTAACGGCTTTGGAAAGGACTGTTTATTTTTGTTACTGTTTTAAGTGTGTGTGCATGCACATGTCTGTGTTGTATGTGTGTGTTTGTGTGTGCGCACGCATCTGTGTTGCATGTGTGTTTGTGCAACTGTGTTGTATGTGTCTGGGTTTGTATGTTTGTGCATCGTGTTGTATGTGTCTATGAGCGTGAGTGTATCTGTATTGTGTGTCTGTGTCTATCTATTTGTATGTGTGTGTTTGTGTGTGGGCACATCTGTGTGGCATGTGTCTGTTTATCTCTGTGTGTGTTTGTGTATATGTGTTGTGTCTGTGTGTTTGTGCATCTGAGTTGTATGTGTGTCTATGTGTATTGAGTGTGAGTGTGTGTGTGTGTGTGTGTGTGTGTGTGTGTGTGTGTGTGTGTGTGTAAGTGCAGTACCTATAGAGGCCAGAAAAGGGTGACAGAGTTAAAGCTACCAGCAGTTGTGAGTTGCCTGATGTGGTGCTAGGAACTGAACTCCCTTCCTCTGCAAAAGCAGTCCTCACTCTAAACTGCTAGGCCATCTCTCCAGGCCCTTGGTGAGAATTTATAGAGAAAAAAATAAGCATTCCCTCACTGAATCCAATTCAAGAACACAAATATAAAAGTGCTGTTTATAATTTAAATTTTGATTAGAAAAATATGTATAACACAGTTGATAAATTATCAAATTTTATCTTTGTTTCCCAAACAAACAAAACAATGATGGTAATTTTTCTTCTTCTGAAAATATGTCTGTGAATGGTTCATGTCAAAGCTAATTTGGGCATGGTTTCTGGCAAAAGAAAATTTATTTTGTTTGGATTAATCTAGTTGTGGTGAATAAAAACTACTCAGCACAATATTAAAGAGGCATGTTTCCCTATAGGCACAGAAAGATTGTGTAGACATGAAAATAAAAGCAACAGCTGGGGACGTTCAGGCACACTTGTTCAATTCTTGCCACAATAGCCTCTCATCCTTACCCTTATCATAGATCCCAGCAAAGACAAAAACACAATCAAATTTTACTTGGTATTAAAGCTGAGACTTCTTAGTAAATGTCTTACACTTTAACATATGGATAAAACAAAGTTATATATGAAATCTTGGCAGATGATCTTATGTATTTACTAAGTGTATGAGCTGGAACGAAACCATCCTGAACTCAAATCCAATGTATACTTATCAACTAGGTTTGTATTCTCAGGAAGCTATTCTACTTTTTAAACCCTACTTCCTTTATCTATAAAAATACATGTAGGGGGCTGGAGAGATGGCTCAGAGGTTAAGAGCACTGACTGCTCTTCCAGAGGTCCTGAGTTCAATTCCCAGCAACCACATGGTGGCTCACAACCATCTGTTATGAGATCTGGTGCCCTCTTCTGGTGTGCAGATATACATGGAAGCAGAATGTTGCATACAAAATAAATAAATAAATAAATAAATAAATAAATAAATAAATAAATAAGTTCTTTAAAAAAAATATAGATAGGGCACTGGAGAGATGGTTCAGTGGTTAAGAATACTAGCTGGTCTTCCAAAGGTCCTGAGCTCAATTCCCAGCAACCACATTTTGACTCACAACCATCTGTAATAAGATCTGGTGTCCTCTTCTGGCCTACAGGCATACATGCAGACAGAACACTGTATACATAATAAATAAATAAGTCTTTTAAAAAAAACATGTAGATATTCTGGGCTGGAGAGATGGTTCAGCCGTTAAAGGCTAGGCTCACAACCATAATATAAAAAAACATGTAGATATTTTATCTACCTTATAAGCCAACCATGAGAGCCACATGATTGCTATACATGAGCATCTTAACATCTCAATAAAACCCTTCTCTAATTAGAGCACACTCTTAAACCTTTGTGGTCACCACAGGGAAGAAGGTGACATAATGCAGTGGATCAAACAGGCACTGAAGCCCTAACGGCCAATGTGACAGCTATGGAGATGTGATGGGGGAAATACTTCTGCATATGTTTATAAATAAAGTACTTGCTTGGCCAATGAGACAGCAGGTTAGGCTGGACTAGGAGTCAAAGAGGATTCTGGGAAATGTAGTAGAGAAATGGTGTTCCAGACAGGAAGTGACATAGCAAGGAGACTCATATTTAAAAAGAGGAAAAAGGAAGTGTCGCTCTCTTTCCCCTCGGCTCCTGTTCCAGCGGCACGATGTGATCCGCCAGCTAGGAGGGACGCCAATAAGGCGTCCGATAAGATAAGTCTTATAAAATATATAGATGTATGATAATTGATACTGAGCTAACAGATGAGAATCCTAGTCATTGGCCAAGCAGGATTGTAACTAATACAAGTCTCTCTGTGTATTCATTTGGGCCTAACTTGGGCAGGTGGCTGGCGTAAAGCTTACACGTGGCAGTGGGGCTCAGCGGCATTTGGCAGAAAGATTTATTGTAACATTTATCGTAACAGAATGGTGTCAGAAGTGGGATAACTCCATGCCCAAAGGTTCCCAGAGAAAGAGGTAAACCTGCTGCCACAGCCTGCCCTGTCGGGCCGCTGAGCTGCATGGGAGCAGCTTCCATATGCTCGCCCCATCCCGGCGCTTGCTTCTGGGGTTTAGACTCGACACTTCCTTTAAATTGTTTGATTGCCGAGGAAAGAATTACTGCTGCTAAAATACATTTGATTATAAATGATACATTTTAAAAATGCTCTAACTTCAGGATTTGAGTTTAAGGACAGTCTACTTAGAAATAAAGGTTTTACTTGTATTTACACAGAAAATCAGAAGCTGTGGATTCCTTCCAGACTAATATGGTTTGATCAAGCAAGACCCCCTGAAGCTGAGATGATACAGCCTTACAGACTATAAAAACAAGGACTTGGTCAGGTTTCTATG